GAACATTGTGGCTTCACAATCGAAGGGACCGGTTTGGACAAAACTCAGCAGCGCTTTTTCATGCGGCTGTTGATAAAAATAGGATCGTCAGCGTCCGATGACAGATATGGCATTAGAAGAATTACTAATTGTAATGATAGGGTAGGAGAGGCGAGACATCTGTCAATATAGGTCCCAGCCCATGGAAGCTGAATCTTATTAATAAACCGACAAGAGTTAACAACCTTGCAATCCTGTTTGCAAAAGGGCTTGGCTAGAAAAAGACATTCCTGTAGTATACTTGCCTTTCTCCTACCTAGAAAGTAGGCCAGCAAAAATACTTGCTGGTTTCTTTCTATGATCGGCGTGAAGGCGGATTTCATTTTTTACTCCACCTTGTAGCAGAGAAATACAGAGTTAGAGAAGAAGGGTGAACTTTTTTAAAAAAATTATCAAATGGTGGCTGCACTCTCTGTGACCTGAGGCCAAAGAATTAAAAGATAGAAATCGATCTGTCTAGACAGATAGAAATGCATCTCCTGTTTTGATCTGAAGGACTCATAAGGCAGTTGAAAGGGAAATAAATATAAAACAACTGAGTGTATTTGCAGAAATGCATAAGGCAACTATCCATTTCCTAGCGTTGGGAAACCCTTTGAACCATAAACTAATCCAAAGGGCATGGTCTGTGCAGCTCCCTGTCTAGGGGAGCAGATAGGCTGGGTCAGTTTGGATAGTCATTGGATGACTCCCTGTTTTATCATTACGCTGCCCTGATTATGGGCTCATTCCAGCGTATAAGAGTCACTGATTTGATGTATATATTTAGATGATTCAATTTGCTTACATTTCCATCTGTGTATCACCTCCATGGACTGCTTGGGGCTATGACAGCCCTTGTGATTGTGATCTTGTGAAGGTTCTCCTTTCTTTCTCAATCCAAATTTAAACAAGCCACCTGAACACATTTTATGGTTGCAGCACCCCTGCGTTTCGTTTATGGTTGGATATGTAAACACCGGCTGATTGTTGGCTTATCTTTGTTCAGACTTTTAAGATCACTCTGCCAGAATGTCCCTACATCAGTTCTTACTTGAGCCAATCACCTGCCATGCCTGGAACCGAGATCGAACACGTGAGTGTCACCATGATGGTTCGCTTTTTAAACTATGGTTTCAGTAAATATTCACTTGGTGTTCTGCTGAAAAGCCAGAGCTGCTAGCGTCTAAGGTTTTAGGGAGAAGATAATGTTTTTAGCGCAGAGTTGAATTGTGATGTCCTTGGTGCTGTGTGAGCTTTTTAACAGATTAACAGAGTTGGAAGGGACCGTGTTGGTCATCTAGTCCAAACCCCCACCCAAGCAGGAGACCCTACACCATTTCTGACAAATGACCATTCTGACAAATGGCAGTTTCATTACCAAACTAGGTACACAAAATCAGTGCACAGCACTGATTATGTTACTTACCGTAGTTGGGTAATGAAATGTGTGCAAGAAGGCCACCAAGCTCAGAGAGCACCAAGGGCCCCACAACTGAGGTTCTGTTTAAGCTTTTTTGTGAGGGCAAAACAGTTGGGATGATGTGTAGGAGGGGAAGGACAGAGGGCTGTTAAATCTCTTCACTCTCGGCTACTTTCCTCTTGAGACACCTCGAGTTCTTTGTTGCACGCTTCTGATGTAAAGACAGGTCCCCAAAGTGTGCAAAAGGTAGAAAGCTGCCCCTCTCCCTCTTTCACTGCTACAATTTTTTCATTGCTCGAGTTTATTCGTCAGCGTAATCCAGTTTTACCCTTCTGGCAATTCTTTTCACCAAGACATCTTCTGCTGAGTTGATCTTCAGCTTCTGTTTGACATCTTTGTCTTCTTGCCATTGTGTTTTTATTTTATACTCACTTCCATGCACCTTATATGCATTAGACTGAGTCTCTCTGTTTGGGAAAAATTAGTTCTAAGAAAAAGAGGATATTCAATGAACAATGTTTTCTTTTTTTTAAAAAAAACGCTCTCTTTCTCTTTCTCTCTGTTTTTGTTAACACAAATCCAATGGTTCTCTTGGCAGAGATTGCCATTAGCCCGAATAACCACGAAGTTCACATTTATAAGAAGAATGGGAACCAGTGGGTGAAAGCCCATGAACTGAAGGAACACAACGGGCACATCACTGGTAAGAGCAGCATCAGCTCAGGCAGCTTCTGTCTTGAGTGAAAAAATCCTACACATTTCTGCAGAGACCACCTCTGGATTTCCTGCGAGAGTAAAATGCCTTTTTTAAGCACTCCTTCCATTGGAAGGAATTCATCTTGGGGTGTCTTGTTCCTTCACATTTTAAACCAAAATAATAATAAAATAATAATAAAAAATCCATTGGAAAATGTATCCATTGCTGGGGTGGTATATGTCATCTACATATGACTAATCTAACATTTATGGCCCATTTCAGGAGAAACATTTGACTTTTTCTTGCCACATTTGCTCTTCCGAATTCCCGGTCAAATCACTTTAGGAACTAAAGAGGAGGTGTGGTGTGTGTATGATTGTGTAACGCATAGGACACTTGATGTAAGACAAATCTCGGAGGCTGTGAAAGTAAACAGAAGACCTTTAAACATGGCAAAGAAAAAGTCTTATCTGGGAAAAGAGATTGACATACATGAATGAATGAATGAATGAATGAATGAATTCACTCATAAAAGGCAGCTTCAGTTCATGTTTTGTTTTGAAGAGTCTGCATTCCTGTTCCCTTTTTCTTGGCGTTCCACCCGATGAATGAAGCCCCATAGGAATCTTTGTTTCTGTGGTTCTCTGTGACAATGAGGGACTTGACATCTTAACAAATGGTGTTTGGTGCAGTATGTCATGATCCAAAGGGGCATGGCACAAAGGCAACACAGATAAGCAATAAGAGTCCTTTTATTATCTCCCAACTTTGCCCCCAGTTTCCAGGTTACCTTCGGCTGGAGAAAAACTCCCAGGAACAGCCTTTAAATGGAGGAAATTCAGTCTGAGAACAAAGTACATACAAACTGTAACTAAAAATCCAAACCACGCTGCAGTAATTAGCTTGACAGGGCAGGAGAAGGAATTGGAAACTTGAAAGGCCAACAAAACACACAGTTGGGAAGACGCCAGGAACCCAGATAAGCCTTGACCATAAAATATAACTCACAATTTGCTCCCAACAATTTGCTGTGCGCAGCTTCCCTTTTTAAACACTGTGTTCCCAGCTGCAGCTAATGAAGGGAATCAGGGCCCTTTCCCCCCCTGTAAGCCATGTAACCCGTTTTGCTCCTTTCTCCATTCCTCCCAGCGTGCCCTAGGATGAAGAGTGGGTGGGCCTGGGTCTTCCTCCAAATTCCCTCTCCCTTGCTCTACCTCTCCCCTGCTCTGCCCAGCCAGACTGTGCTCCACAGCCAACAGAGCCACGCTCACACTCTCTGTCAGCTGCTTGAAAATCAGATTCCCACAGGGACATGACACAGTAGATAGCAAAAGGGGACCAATCTAAGATGCTGCTGTGAAAGATTAAAACTCTAAATCGGTGTTTCTCAAGTTACAGATGTGTGGACTTCAGCTCCCAGAATTCTCCCAACCAGCTTGCAGGGGGAATTCTGGGACTTGAAGTCGACACATCTGAAACTTGCCAAGGTTGAGAAACCACAGCAACGGTTTCAGAGCGGTGGCCTTCGGAATCAGCCCGCTGCCATTCCCTTTCTTCCACACTCGCCTTCGAAAAACGGCCTGTGTTTCTCTCCGTTACAGGCATCGACTGGGCCCCCAAAAGCGACCGCATTGTGACTTGCGGGGCCGACCGTAACGCTTACGTCTGGAGCCAGAAGGATGGTGTTTGGAAGCCGACTTTGGTCATCCTCCGCATCAACCGAGCGGCCACCTTTGTGAAATGGTCCCCTCTGGAGAACAAATTTGCGGTCGGAAGTGGCGCTCGGCTCATCTCCGTCTGCTATTTCGAATCCGAAAACGACTGGTGAGCGGGTTAATCTCTTTGCAGTGTAATAAACTGGGAAATAATGTTACTGGCGGTGAATTCACTGCCAAGCTGCCAGTCTCTTGCTCTTCCTCCGCTTTTACGTGACTTGAAAGAAAATGAACTCGTCCCGGAATTTATGGCTACATTCCCAGAAAGATTAGCCAGCTCTGTCTGTTCCCGAAATATCTCTGATTGAGCTAGAGAACAGACCTAACGTTGAAATAGAAGGTTTCAAACGCTAAGCTAAAGCTCCTTGGTTTTAGAATAGAATAGAATTGAATTCTTTATTGGCCAAGTGTGATTGGACACACAAAGGAATTTATCTTTGGTGCAAATGCTCTCATAAAAAAAGACACATTCGTCAAGAATCATCAGGTACAACACTTAATAATAGTCATAGGGTACAATAAGCAATCAAATCATACTGGGAAACAGTCCAAATAAATCGTAAGGATACATGCGACAAAGTTACAGTCATCCAGTCCCAAGTGGGAGGGGATGGGTGATAAGGACTGATGAGAAGATTAATAGTAATAGTGATACAGCCTTACTAAATAGTTGGACAATGTTGAGGGAATTAGTTGTTTAGCAGAGTGATGGCTTTCGGGGAAAAAACTGTTCTTGTGTCTAGTTATTCTGGTGTGCAGGGCTGTATAGCGTTGTTTTGAGGGTAGGAGTTGAAACAGTTTATGTCCAGGATGTGAGCGGTCTAAACAGCCGGAGAGCCCGGGTTCGAGACCCAGCACGGGGCAAGCTCCCATCACTCGCCTCAGCTCCTGTCCACTTAAGCAGTTTGAAAGCATGAAAATGCGAGCAGATGAACAGGTACCACTTCTGTAGGCAGTTAGCAGCATTCCGTGCACCTTGGTGTACCGTTGTGCTGCCCACATGACCACAGGAGAGTCTTGGGACAACGGGGATGAGCACCCACCCACCCCTGGAGTCAGACAGGGCAGGGGAAAACTGTACCTTTATGGACGTAGGAGCCAACTATGCTGGCGTCATGAGGACAGCTACTCAGTTGTACCGTTCAGACCTATTTTGCGGCCAAGAGGGATTTGAATAACATCCTCAGTGCATATTCAGCACCATAACTTAAGGAGAATGATGCAGGGGTTCCCCTTCCTGTCTCCTAGGTGGGTGAGCAAACACATCAAGAAGCCCATTCGTTCCACCGTCCTTAGTCTAGATTGGCACCCGAACAACGTCTTGCTGGCAGCCGGATCCTGTGATTTTAAATGCAGGTGAGGACACGCATAACTTCTATGAAATGGGTTGGCAGCATTTGAGGGGCTGCCACAAAGAACTAAGGAGAAATTTCCCAACAGGGAGGACAATCAGCCAGTGGAACTGCTGGCTACCGGAAGTTGTGAGCGTTCCATCACTGGAGGCTTTCAAGAAGCGATTGGACAGCCCTTGGTCTGAAATGATGTACGGTCTCCTGCTTGGGCAGGGGGCTAAACTGCCAAGACCTCTAAGTCTAGTGCTTCAGTCCTGTTTTATTTCAGTTAGCCGGTTTCTGGGTTTCGTGGTGGTGTTTTCAAACATGTTAGTGTCTGCTTAACTGCCGCTTTAATACTTACCATCAATGTTTGCAACTCTTATCAGAGACTTTTATCAAACGGCAGCGTGGCAGGAAAAGTGGTAAAATAGGTTGTCCCGTAACAACGGTCTTGCTTAGTAACAAAAAAATAATAATAATGTTGAGCTCAGTGGTGGGTCGTAAGTCAAAGCAACTACCTTTCTCTCTCAAACTATTGCAAAAGGCAGGGAACGCTGTTAACGTTTCCCCTTAAGGACAAACTTGCCTTTCGCCGCCTGCAGGGTGTTTTCAGCCTACATTAAGGAGGTGGACGAGAAGCCTGCCAGCACGCCTTGGGGCTCCAAAATGCCCTTTGGGCAGCTGATGGCCGAATTCGGAGGCACCGGCAGCGGCGGTTGGGTGCACAGTGTCAGTTTCTCTGCCAGCGGGAACCGTCTCGCCTGGGTCAGCCACGACAGCACCGTATCCGTTGCAGACGCCTCGAAAAACATGATGTAAGTAGCTGCGGCAGGGGAAGGCTTCTCTGAATGCCATCCGGCGCGGGGATTCCAGCGGTTGCGTTGGGTCCCCCAATTCTAAAGCAGAGGTACATTTAGCCTCCTGCCACCGGCTTACACCACAGACAATAGCAGTAATATCTAGGCTTAGATGTGCCCCTCCTAGTGTTTTGCAATGCTAGAATATTGCCCCCAACCCTCTGGGTCCTCATTTTCCCAACGTCGCAAGGAAGGAAGGCGGAGTCTACCTTGAACCCCATCAGGATCGAACTCCAGGCTGTGGGCAGAGTTTGCCCGCAATCCTGCACTTCAACCACTTGCGCCACCAGGGCTCAGGAATTGAGGTGTGTGGGGTCTGCTGGCTTCATGGTCTGCGCCCTAGTGGACAAGGGGATCCTTTCCTTTGACACAGTGCAAACCCTGGGAACGGTTTCATCGCGACGCTACCTTCTTAACCCCCTGCCTTGCCTTTTAGGCTCTCTCAACTCAAAACCGAGTTTCTGCCCTTGCTGAGCGTCTCCTTCGTGTCGGAGGACAGCGTGGTGGCTGCTGTAAGTGCCTTCCCTTAGTTTGGGGAAGCTCTTGGGAGCTGGGGAATTCTGGGCGTTGGAAGTCCCCGCCCTCTTCAAGCGGTCGGTCTGGCTCGAGAAACGCCGATCCAAAGCCCGGGTGCGCGGTTTCCTTCCAGGGCCACGATTGCTGCCCGATGCTTTTCAACTGTGACGACCGCGGAGCCCTCAACTTTGTCTCGAAGCTGGACATTCCTAAGCAGAGCATTCAGCGCAACGTTTCGGCCATGGAGCGTTTCCGCAACATGGACAAGAGAGCCACTACGGAAGACCGCCACGCTACACTGGAGACGCTGCATCAGAACAGCATTACGTGAGTGACCGTAGGGTAGTTGCGCAGATTCTCCTTCAGTCTGGCACGCGTCCTGTCGGTAGCTTCAGCGCTTAGACATATATATCGCTTCACAGTGCTTTTACAGCCCTCTCTAAGCGGATTATAGAGTCAGCCAATGGCCCCCAATCGACCTAGGTCCTCCTTTTTATCAACCTTGGAAAGGTGGGGTTTTGAGTCAACCTTGAGCTGGTCAGGATCGAACTCTTGGCAGTGGGCAGAATTAGCCTGCAATATTGTATTCTAACCATTCTTAATAGCAGTAGCACTTAGGCTTATACACCGCTTCGCAGTGCTTTACAGTTCTCTCTAAGCGGTTTATACGGTCAGCCTATTTGCCCCCAACAATCTGGGTCCTCACTTGATCCACCTCAGAAGGATGGAAGGCTGAGTCCACCCGGAGCCAGTCAGGATCGAACTGCTGGCAGTGGGAATGCAGACTCAGCCTGCAATGCCGCACACTAACCACTACACCACCAGGGCTGCCCTACAGACAATCAACAATAAAGAAACTTCTCCGGAATAGCCCGTGGTGTCATTCTTGATTCCTTGTGCCTGACAGTGACATAAGGCGAAGAAGGAGAGAATTCTGATGGAGGTCCATAAACTCGTTTCTTCCGGCTTCTGAAATTGTTTTGAAGCTGCAGCAACTAGATCACGGGTCTCCAAAGATGACAATTTTAAAATTTGTGGGCTTCAACTCCCAGGAATTCATGCCGGTCGAGGAGTCCTGGGAGTTGAAGTCCAACAAGTCTTAAAAGTTGCAAAGTTCGGATACTCCTCAGCTAGAAGATCAGTTGCTGGCTCCTGAAATATTTTTCCATGTCAGACCTGAATTGGAAAGTTGAACAGTTGACCCGTCTAGTTCCTCCTGAGAAGGTTTCTCGACTGCATCCTGCAACTTCTTCACATAGTCCTCGGGATCTGTTTCCCTATTTATTCACCCACTATCTACACCTCCCATTTCCCCTAAGGGAACTGGACGGTTTACGAAGCGCGTAATAAAACAGTACAAACGCGTGACTCAAAGCATAGTTAAAAAGAAAATTAAGAACAGGTGTACAATTTCTTCTGAGTCTAATGCTGGTTCCATTCTCCTCTTCCTCCTCTTGCAGTCAAGTGTCTATTTATGAAGTGGACAAGCAAGATTGTCGCAAGTTTTGCACCACTGGTATTGACGGAGCAATGACCATCTGGGACTTTAAGGTAACGTTTGACTGCCCAGCTTATCCTTGATCGATTATGCCAGCCGATTCTACGGTCGATATAATGTTTGCCAGCTCCTCTGTTAACCGTGTAATTGTAAGAGAGGGAGAAGCAGAGATAGGCAGAGTCAAGAAAGCAATCAACCTAGAATCTTTACGCCCCCACAAATGAGCTAAATCCGATCCCTCTTGAACTCCGTTAACCCTTTACCTAGCTCCAATTTAGCACTGGCCATTGGTTGACTCGACTCTTACGTATAAGTCCTTAAGTGGAACTTAGCACGTAGTCCTGAGGGGGTCAAGCTATTTTTCCAAGGCATCTGAAGGCCAGACAAGGAACAATGGATGGAAACTGATCAAGGAGAGATTCAACCTGGAAATAAGGAGAAACTTTCTGACAGGGAGAACAATCAACTGAAGGAACACAAGTTGCCTTTAGACGTTGTGGGAGCTTCATCCCTGGAAGCTTCCAAGAAGAGACCTGGACTTCCATCTGTCAGAAATGGTGTAGGGTCTCCTGCTTGGGCAGGGGTTGGACTAGATGACCTACAAGGTCCCTTCCAACTCTGATTATCTGTTATTATCTGTCGCCTGCTTTGGTTTGTCATGGTGAATAATTTTCTTTTTTCTTATTTTTCTCCACTCCCTTCGTCGTCCTTGTCTAGACATTAGAGTCCTCCATTCAGGGCCTACGGATAATGTAGAATGGATTCTTGGTTCTCTAGCAAGACAGCCTGCTCTGAAGCCTGCACAGACTTGAAAAGACAGGGTGAAGATGGATCACTACTACTTTTTTTTTTTTTTAAAGCACTGAAGAATGACGACTTGGTGAAATATCCCCCCCCCCCCCCAATTTCCCTATTCGTCCCCTTTCTACTCTGGTGATATATATATTGATCTGCCAATCAGCTGTGATGTGATTGTGGTATATATTTGGGTTTGTGGGTTCATCGTTGTTGTCGTTGTGTTTTTTAATTGCGCTTGGTTGTTTTTCATTCCCTTCTTTACCAAAGCTGCTCCTTGAAACAGTTTATTGCAGGAAGTATGAAAACACTAAGTTAAACAGGGGAGTTCTATGTTCAGCTTGTCTGCTAGGAAAATTAAAATTAAAAAGCATCTTCTTACGTCTTGGTTATTATTTGGCCGTGTTGGGCGGGGGAATTTACTGGAGGAAACAATTAAATATGGAAAGAGTTACTGGTAAAAAGAAACCAGGCCATTGACGGAACCCGGTGGCTGTACTGTATAGATATTTATTAATACAGACTTGAGGAAGAACATGTAAAAGAAACAATGGTGGCATGGGCAAATAAAATCGGTTATAATATTGAATTGGGTAAACGGCAAAAGCTTTGGACCGCCAATAGGAAAATAACATTGGCCACGGCACATAAGGAAAACCTTTATAAGATGCTTTACCGATGGCATCTTCTGCCAGCAAGGCTTTCCAAAATGTTCAAAAGTCTGATCTCCAAATTGTTGGAAATGCAAAGATGCATCCGGCACATTTTTTTCACATGTGGACCTGCAATGCTGCAAAAAAAAAATTATTGGAGATTGATTCAGACATGGGTGGAACAAATGGTATTCCATTTAAGCCGGATTTTTTTTTTCTCCTAGGAATAATATCAGAAGGATACAGGAAGGATTTGATTTATATAATAGTTACATGTGTTGATGGCGACTAGAATAATATATGCTCAATATTGGAAGCAGGAAAACATACTGCCAGAAACAGAGATGATAAAAATTATGGCCTGTGCAAAATCAGCCAGGTTAACTCGACAATTAAAAAAATCAGGGCCCTTTCCTCCCCCGTAAGCCATGCAACCCACATTCCGTTCCTCCCTGTGTGCCCTGGGATGAAGAGGGGGTGGGCCTGGGTCTTCCTCTGAACTCCCTCTCCCTTGTTCTACCTGTTCCCTGCTCTGCCCAACTGGACTTTGCCCTTCCCCAGTTTCCGCCACAGCCAACCGCTCCCTATCAGCTGCTTGGCCTCCCCCTCTGAGTCAGATTCCGACAGGGGCATGACAGTTGGACGCCACTCAACGGATAACTTCAGCACCGTCAGGCCCGGAGAGCAAATTACGCTTTTTAACCGTCTGACAAAAACTGGGCCCAGAGAATAAACCTTTTTGCGTCCCCTCATCCGTCTTGTGCTTCTACTTTTCATTTGCCCCTGTAAAGGCCTCCGTATTCTAACCAGGATCAAGGGATTCTTTTCTGCTGTTCTGACGAAAAATCACACACCCACGTGTGCGCACGTGCATTCAGAAAGACAGCCCTCTCTAGAGCGTCACTTGGGTGTTAGGGAGAAATACGGAGACTGTACGAAACATGGAGGCTAAAACATAACGAAGAACGGTTGCAGGATTTGGGTATGGCTAGTCTAGAGAAAAGGACTAGCGGGGGGCATGATTGCAGTATTCCAGGATTGGAGGGGCTGCCCCAAAGAAGAGGAAGGGGGTCAAGCTATTCTCCAAAGCACCAGAAGGCAGGTCAAGAAGCAATGGTTGGAAGCTAATCCAGGAGAGAAGCAACCTGGCATTAAGGGGAAATTTCCTAAGAGTGAAGACGATCAACCAGTAGAAGGGTTTGCGTTCAGAAATTGTGGGTGCTGCATCACTGGAGGTTTTTAAGAAAAGACTGGAGAAAAAAAATTGTCTAAAATTGTTTCGGGTTTCCTGCCTGAGCAGGGGGTTGGACTAGAAGACCTCCAAGGTCCCTTCCAGCTCTATCCTATTTAGTTGAGGAAAATCGCATCCTTCTGACTTTAGTCTCAACTTGGTCCAGGCGGTTTATTGCCGGGGTTTCTTTACTCACAATTCTGCCCCTGCCCCGTCCATGAGTGACAGCAGGGTTTTTATTTCTGGGTGGAAGAGCTGAGATCTCTTTTCAGGTCACTCCTTCCTCCTTTCTTTTTTATTATAATTTTTTTTTATTTTTTAAGACCAACATATACAAACAAAACTTAAAAACATAAACCCATCTTCCATTTTATATACAGTTGGTTACAAATCTTTTGTGCTATCCTTTCACAGTCATTGCTCACAGTTTGTATAAATTCTCACATTGTCAAACTAACATATATTTATCGGTTATTAATCATTCGTGACTAAACTATTTATTCCACCATTTTATACGAGATATTCTATCTTTTCTAATGGCATGATATGCCGTGAAGTCACCGTCAAGTCTTGGGCGACCACCCTCGTCTAAATGAACATAAGTCGATTCTTGCAGCCCCACCTGCCTTGCGAAACCAACACCTTCCTGCATCATTTAAGGCCCCAAGCTTACTCCTTCGCTGCACAAAAGGCATTGCACACACGCACAGAGAGAGAATTTTTTCCAACCCCCAAGCAAGGAAGTGGTTAAGTTTCTAGCCGAGAGGGAAGTCTGACTTGCAGCCTTGCCTCTAAACTTCTTTCTTCATTTCCTCCTGAGCTGGCTCGGCGGAGAGCTGTTCATGTCGACTGCCCAGAGTCCGTGAACGAGCCTTTCTGCTTCTCCTCCTCAACGGGGAAGATCTCGAGATCTTCATCTCCTCCATCCAAGGTCAGTCCCTGAGATGCTCCTTCGATCCAACAAGCAAACCTCGCTCTCTTTTGTCTTCTTCTCTCTTGCTAACTTTCTCGCGAAGGCATTTCTCTCTCTGAAGGGATGGCAGGGGTCCAAATTCGGGAGCGGAAAACTGGTTTGACTCACTCACTCTTCTCACCATCGCCCCTCCTGTCCCATCCTCCACCACATCACCTCCTTCTCCTCCTCCTTTCCACTTGGATGTTATTTCCTTTCCATTTCTTCTGGCAATACTTTCAGGAAGTTTGGGGTTTTTTTTTTTTTCTCCTTTTCTTTCCACACCCACTGAAATTTCTCTCCAGCGAGCGGTTGGCTTCCCTTTGAGTTTTCCATTGACACAACTCTTCAAAAGTCCCTCCTCCCCCGCCCCAAAAAAGGTGGTTCCTCTGTGAAGGATTGTCTGCAGATTAGGCAACCTTTCTCCTCTGAAGTGGGCTTAGATCTCCAGCAAAAGAGTTTTTGGGCGTTTCTTCAACAGGCAGAGTGAGTTTTGGGGGCTTTTTTTTTTTTTCTTCCAGAAAGAGGTCTGGTGGGTTGGGCAGAAGTTTTCGGATTCGGAGTTCACTTGCAAGGCAAAATTATATTTTCCATCCAAGGAAGGACACTGTTATTTTTAGATTTCTTTTTCCCTCCTGCAAAGTCCTGCAAGATTACCAAGTAGATTTTACCTCTTCTGAACCAATGAAAAAGAGCTGTAACCAATGAAAAAGATGCATCCTGCATACATGTTATAGTTGGTAATTGGCTAAGGCTAAGATTCAGATCAAATGACTCTCTGCATTGTTGAACCTTAAATCTGAACAAATCTCTCTGAGCTAATTGGCAATCTGAGCCTCCCTGTGCTACCTTCCCATACAGGTAAGAAGTGTCGTTAGAAGCCGTGAATAACCTCAGAGGGACGACTAATCCGTCGTCCCCAACCCTCCCTTTTACGTCCCAACCCATCCCCATGTAATCAACCCTAACTGAATTTACACTATCGTGTTCAGGCGTGAAAAATAGAGGCAAGTTTTGTAAATAGGCTTAATGAAAACAGACAAACCAGAACGAAACAGGCAAAAACCAGTCAAATCTATAAAACCCTTCGCCCCGGTATTAAAAAAACACCACCCTGTTATCATCCCTGCTGCCAAATGTCAGCTCTCAGCCATCAAAAGATTTGCTTGCTTTCGGGCTCTTTAGAATTACGGTCTCCCGTGCGACTGAAAGGCAAGGAAGTAAATAGCTCACGGGGAAAAAAAAAATACAGGAAAACGGAAATATTTCTTAACCAAGAGCAATTTGGTAATGCCATATAAGGCCAGAAGCTGACAGATCTCGGAGAGGAAGAGCAGAGACAGATGTTGACAGCAGTCACCCAAGTTGAATTTCCTCCTGTGGCTCAGCCTGATGGTTTTTATTCTGCTTTTTTAACTAAAGCAGCCAAGGAGCTTGATTTTGCAAAACTAATAATCATAGACAGTAGACGTACCCAACTGCAGCGCTTCCCAAAACAGAGATAAAAGACACCAAGCTTGATCAACGTGGTTGGGCTCCTTTTTGTAGTTGTTAGATCTACCAGTAATTCAGAACTTCCAGGCAACCAAGACATCATAGTTGGTGGACAGGCAGATGCCAGGAATAGCAAACTTTTAAACTGTGCAAATCAGCAACATGGGTATCCCAGCTAGGAACCATTGTAGCGTTTTCTCCTTTTGCACATTCAGCTTCCTTGGTTGGATTTATTAAAGAGGTAGTCCTTGACTTGTGACCATGGTTGAAAGTAGAATTTCCATTGCTAAAGCAAGGTGGTTGTAACTCTTTCTCTCAGGTGCAGGGAAAAAAAACCCAGGTCCGCACGTGAAGGTCTAATTAAACTGATTTATACTCCTCATGGCTATGCACAGGAATATTCGTGACTAACCAGTCAACCCTTGCCAGGAGTTAGATCAGAGTCAAAGGAATTCAAGGGAGGTTGGACTTAGTTTGTGGCTACGTAGAGATTCTAGGCTGATTCCTCCTTTGACTCTGCCTCCACTCCTTCCCCTACATTCTCCCAACCTCGCCTCCTCCATTCATGAGAAAGCTAAATTGTTTAGGGAGAAGTTTATCCTCCAAGCTTGCGGCTTATCTCCTGGATATTTCACTACCAAACAGGGTAACGTTTTCAGTGGGGTTTTGGGTGAAGTGTCAAAGACATTTCACCCAAATCCCACCGAAGACGTTACCTAGTTTGGTAATGAAATGTCTGGGAGCCAAGTAGCAAGCTTGGAGGAGAAACCTCTGCCCAAG